TAGTTTATGTATTTATTTTGAGAGAGAGAGAGAAAGAGAGAGAGAATCCCAAGCAGACTCCACACTCAGCCTGACTCGGGGCTCATTCCCACAACAATGAGATCATGACCTGAGCCAAAATCAAGAATCAGATGCTCAACCAAAAGAGCCACCCAGGCGCCCAAGGAAGGAAAATCTTTTAAAAAATAATAATAAATAAGAGGGAAGGTAGAAGAATTTTTTTTAAGATGATGGAGTAAAAGAATTGGTAAAAAGTAAGGGAAAGATATTTAATAACCCCAGTGAGGAAAGGAGGAATGGCTCTCAACGGACTGTGAGTGAGAGTACATCTTAGAAAAACACCAGATATGTCTGTGGTGGGAGGGCTGCGGCCAAGGTCGTGTGTCCAGGAAGAAGATGAGTAAGCTGTCTGCCTTCAACATTTCTGTTGTAGGCTGTCCCCTGGCCATGTGGATGCTGGGGCAGAGCCAGGCCGGAGTCGAATGATCAGCCAGGAGGAGTTTGCCAGGCAGCTACAGCTCTCTGACCCCCAGACGGTGGCTGGAGCCTTCAGCTACTTTCAGCAGGTAAAGGAGCTGGGACACAGAGGCCAGAGCCCGGGCACTGCCCTCCAGGCTGATGTGCTCAGGACTTCAGGACACTATCCAGTTGGCCCCATGGGTGGCCAGTTTGGAATCTGCACTGTTGGATGGCCATGTCCTGAGGTCTGCTGGGGGATTCATTTTTTGTAGAGTATCCAGTGCATTGAGGAACAATGTTTTAATCATTGTGGAAAGGAGCAGTGGAGAACTAATCGGGGTCAGTGAGGTCCATAAGTTTTTTAAGCCACTTGAGGGATTGACCAAGATGGAGGACCAGATGACCTTGTGGGGCACCTGTGTGAGTTTCAGGGAAGAGTCATGAAGGTTGGATGGGAAAGTGACCTATGGAGGAGACAACATGGGACAGGTTAGACAGAGACGAGTGGGAGCCTCAGATCTCAGCGATACTTTTTAAAGATAGCCCGTGGTTGCTTAGGGGATTCCTGAACTATCTCAAGAATTTTGGTACTCTGTATATTTCCTGGGACTTAACTAGGTTTTCCTGTTGAATTATAATAATCCCAAAAGATTCTTAATGTTTGCAAACAGCCACCACTGGCCCCAAAGAGCTCTTTTTGGTCTAAGATGCAAACCGTGGCTCTCAACACCCTCTAGAGAGGGACAGAGTGACCCAGGTGTGTTGATTGCTTAGACTGGGGCAGACTTGCCCTGAAAGGAGCTTCTCTGCTTAGTCTCTAGCATAGCTAAATAGCATGGCTCCGCTGGGGCAGCATCCTCCTTGGGGTTTTTTATGCCGGTGGCCCCCTGTCAGTCTGTCAGACCAGTTCTCCAGCATTGGCTGAGTCAGAAGAGAACCAGTTATTCCAGCTTAGCATATGTCAGAAACTTGGTGGTAACTTCAGCATTCCTGAGGGATTCCCTCACGTTCATAGGAGATTCCCTAGAGGAGAGTTTTGTCACCACGTGACTTGGGGGTGGCTTGAGCATGACCAAGAGAAATGCTGGGAATCCTGGTGAGTTTAGGGCTTCGGGTTTTGAGGGAAGCAGACAGAAGATCATCATCCCTGTTCCTGCTGAGAAGAGGGAGGAGCCAAAACCCAGGGCAAGAGGGAGGACACAGGGTTGGTCCTCATACTGCCCTGGTTTCTCTTTCACCATCTAGGATGCCAAGGGTTTGGTGGACTTTAGAGACGTGGCCTTGGCACTGGCAGCTCTGGATGGGGGCAGGAGCCTGGAGGAGCTGACTCGCCTGGCCTTTGAGGTATCAGGAAGGTGGAGGGATGTGTGGTGGCCATGCCTACCCCACCCAGAGGCCTGTATGCACTGCTGCTCCCAGTACCTTCTAGATAGTAGGTGCTGGCTATGCACCGCAGTGCCTCCCTGTCTCACCTACAGAGCCCCAGTGCCTCTGTGTCGCAGCCTTGCTGGGAACAGGGCAAGGGCAACAGCTGTGAAGTTTACAGTTCTGCAGAAAGGGCCAGGGTGAGGGTGGCAGGGGAGACGGGGGAGCCTGTCAGGCAGATCTGCAGGGCGGTGTGGGGCTATGGCCTGAGGACAGTGCTTGACTTGCTGTCCCTTTCTGTCCCAGCTCTTTGCCGAGGAGCAAGTAGAAGCACCCGACCGCCTGCTGTACAAAGACGGCTTCAGCACCATCCTGCACCTGCTGCTAGGGTCACCCCGCCCTGCTGCTGCGACTTTGCATGCTGAGCTGTGCCAGGGGGGTCCCCACCAGGGCCTCTCCCTCTGTGAGTCACTGCCTCCTCTGCCAGGACGGCTCGGGCCATCATCAGCACAGGCTGGGAGAGGGTGCTGGGGATCCTCGTACAAGAGGTGAGGCTGGGAAGGCAGAGAAGACATAAGCTGGGACTTGAGAAGTGAAGCAGAAAGGAGAGGGACAAGACATACCAATTCCCAAAACGAGCTGGCCTCCCTCTTCCTCTCCTTCCTGGAGGATGGTTTTAC